TGCTGATAAGGGCGCGCAAGCCGGGGGGGGGGAGGCGGTTGGCAGGCCGCTGGGTTCGGTAGACGAGGATACGGGGGGAGCTCGAGGGGGGCAGCCAAGCGAAGTTCTAGGAGGAAGATCAGACAAGATGGGGACAGCGGGAGCTCCAGACGGGGAAAGTGGAGAGGGGACAAGGTCGTCCGAAGGTGACGGATCGAGAAAACAAGACGGTGCGGACGTCCGACGTCTTGCAGAGGGGGACTTTCCCCCGTTGGGAGCAGAATCCGATTCTCGAACCCTGCAGCAAGAGACGGCACCCATTCAAGGTGTCCGATCCTTGTCGATCGGGACGTCATCGGAAGATTTCGCCGGTGTCAGATCTTTGAGGGGGGGCGACAAGCTCGGGCGTTTGGTGATTGAGCGCGCGGCGGCGAGCCCGGCGTCTGTTTTAGCCTTTGAGGAAACGGCCAACGAGGAGGCGCCACGTGGCACCGGGAGGGATCCCCCTCGTACGAGGCCGGACAGCGGGGCCGCAAACGCGTGGCGCAACGGAAAGAGCGACAGTGTACATAGAGAGGCATGCTCGCAGCCGCACGCGCGCCTCTCGCCGCGGGGAGCTTTAGAAGTGCAGGCTAGCGCGAAACCCGACTCAATTAGCGCCAAACCGAGGCCGATTAGCGTGGACGGGCGGCCCGAGGAGGAGGTGTCCGAAGCCGGGTTCGGACCCACGGACTGGCGCGTGGTTTCGGACAAGGGTTTGGCGGACGTCGTGGAGGCGCTGATTGGGACGTATCATTCGGAAGGAGGGGTGCCAGCAGCGGTGGGGTTCATGGAGTGGGTGGGCATCGAGACGCAGGTGAGAAGTTCCGCCTCTCCGGAGAAGTCAAAGACGTCATCAGTGGATGCAAAGACGCGTTGCGTGCGGAGGGTCCCCCTTTTGGAGGGTCTCGTGTTGTTGGAAGAGAGAGGTTTGAGGACTACATTTGTCCCCGATTAGTCATGATCTCGAATATGTTCTTGGGTACCCGTGGAGAAGAGCATCTGGTCTGAGGGCTTCGGCTTCGGCTTCGGCTTCGGCTTCGAACGACAATAAAGCTGAGAACGTAGAAGTCTATCTCGACTTCCTGGGTTACCTTACAGCAGCTCATGCTATAAAACTGCCAACTTGCTCTCTGCTACCTTCTCGGATGTCGCTTCCGACACTCTGGTGTTTGCCGCTGCCTCCGTTTACGTGACTGCTGACGTCCATCGGCCGTCGTCTTTTCCCTCAGTTCCCGGCCTCCGCCGTTGAGGAAACACGCCAAGGGGCGGCCGTTCCAGAGGCGATCCTGCGGAGCGCCGATTGCGCTGCGGTCGAGGCTGTGCTGGGGTACTCGTTTCACAGCCGAGCGCTGCTGGTTGAGGCGCTGACGCACCCCACCGGAGCCGAGCAGTCGGTAAGTCCCACATCCTTCGAAATCCAAAAACCAGAAGAATGCCAAGGTCTTAGAAGATTTGGAAGCGCTAAAGCACCCCACTCAATGATCGTGCGCAATAAAGTCCCAAACCCTGGATTCTGAAACCGCGAGAAAGTGCTGAACTATCTTCTCTCGAGGGGGTCGCCCGCAGCTCGTTCAGGCGCTGACGCATCGCCCTGCTGCGGAGCCCTTGGTGACGCTCCCTGATATTCTTGAGCTGACAACCGTAACAAGTTCAAGTGAATTTCACCTCATTCTCTCGCTGTTCTATCCAATTGTTTTCTTTCCCGGCTCCTTGTGAAATACCCAGAATTTCCTCTCAACGCTGTTTTCCAATCTCAGGTCCCGTGCTACCAGCGGCTCGAGTTCTTGGGCGACGCCGTGCTGGACTACCTGATCACGCGCCACCTGTACGACGCGTTCCCCGATCTTTCCCCGGGGATGCTCACCGACCTGCGCAGCGCTGCCGTGAACAACGAGAACTTCGCCCGGGTGGTCGTCACCCGGGGCCTGCACCGCCATTTGCGGCACCGCTCCGCCGTCCTCCTACAACAGGTGCGATTGCGGCTCGCTGCTTACGTTGATATCTGCATTGTTGAGACGTTCGCGGAGCACTTAATGGCTTTCTAGGACAGCTATGCTTTGTTTTGGCGGGAGTTACTTCGGCAGTGAGAAAAGACGATGAAAACAACAAAAGGCCGAAAGCAAGAGGGACAGAGTCACTCAGTTTCATCAACACCCAGATTGATGATTGACAGAAGAACCCAATATCCTTTAAAATCATGATTTTCCTAAAATGTTTTCGACGTCCAGTTGAAGCAAAGGAGATTCGCTCTAAGCTTTCTGCCTCTTCGCCACTCGCAGGTCACTGCATACGCGATCGAACTAGAAGCGGCGGGGACCGGGCACGCGCACTCCTTCGGACTGGTCGACCATTCCGCGCCGAAAGTGTTGGGCGATGTGTTTGAGTCGCTCGCGGGCGCGGTTCTGCTCGACTGCGGGCTGGACCACGAGACGGTGTGGCGCGTCTTCGAGCCGCTGCTGCAGCCGATGGTGACGCCGGACACGCTGCCGATTCACCCCGTCCGCGAACTGCAGGTGGGCCCCCCGTCCGAACGTCCAAACACAGAAGGCAAAGCCGTTTGCTGTAACTGCTAAAACAACTCTTTTCCATTGGTTAGATTCTCGTTTTGACGCCGGACACGCTGCCGATCCACCCCGTCCGACAACTGCAGGCAGGGCCCAGTCCGGACGTCCAAACATAGAAAACAAAGCCATCCGCAAAGAACAAGGTTTCTCCTCCTTGATTCTCGTTATTTGACGCCGGACACGCCGCCGATACATCCCGTCCGAGAGCTCCAGGTGGGCTCCCCGTCCGGACGGCCGAACGCCGAAGATATGCATATCGACGAGAAAGTTGCTCAATACGACATTGTGTCCGAAAAAGGAGTCGTTTGACCGTGTAGTTGTACCTCTTGATGCACGAGACGCTGCCGATCCACCTCGTCCGAGAACGGCAGGTGGGCCGGCGCCGGACGTTTGAACACAGAAAAGCAAAAAACTTCCTCTCAAAAGTGAAGAGCGGATCAATGACTCTGAAAAGGCATTGCTTGTAGAATTGCTTCTTGTTTCTTGACGAGACGACAACCTGCCGAACCAATCCGTCCGAGAGCTTCGATTGAGTTGCGTCCGAACATCGGGATGTCGGGGAAGTTAGAAGTTGCTTCAAGGCTAGCATGTTGGATGTTGTCTGACACAACCAGTAAGTTCGGTCATCGTTGCTCGCCAAGTAATTGAAGAAAGTCTCCGTCGGTGATCTTTTTGGTGCTTGATGGCTGTGCTCCCATGGCCCTCCTTTCAAAAATACGAAGGGAGCCTCCGCTGCGGAAAGAGATTCATATCTTAGGCGCTTGAAAGGCAAAGATTTACTCGTTTTTATTGTTGTCTGTGAATCTTGCACTATGTCAGATTGCAAAGTTGAGTCCGGAGTGGATTCAGGCCTGAAAAAGAGGATCAGGCGGACCATGCGCGTAATCCTTGTCAAAGTGTGGAGCGCTGTGACTGTTTCCCTTCTTTTCTCACCTCGCACTGACTTGCGCATCCGACATCGGAAAACTTGCACGGAATTTGAGGGATAAGTCCCCGCCAGAGATCGGTCAGGCAGCGGCGGCACTCTGCCGCTGCCCAAGTTGTGATTGCGGTTTCCTTTCGGCTAATCTACTAGCTTTTGGAATGCTGCCGGAACCATGGACTTCTTCTAAACCCTTTCACTGACCCGAGCACCTTACCCCACTCATTTAGGAAGCCTGCCAGCGGTTAGACGAGGGTTTGGAGTACTGCCACAACAAGAACCGGTTTAACCCCCGCTAACCCTTGCTTGTTCCTGCCTAATCCAGGAAGCCTGCCAGCGGTTAGACGAGGGTTTGGAGTACCGCCAGAACCGGGTCGGGCGGCTGGCGCAGGTGGACGTCTTCCTGAACGGCGAGATGGTCGGGAGCGCGCAGAATGCGCAGAAAAAGATGGCCCAGAAGCACGCCGCGCGCGACGCGCTCGCGCACCTCCGCCAGCAGTACGGCGCGCAGCTGGTGAGCCGCACTGTGGTTTTTGTCGCCGCGCCTAGTTGCGCGGATCGTGCTCCGGAGTCGTGTCTGGTACGCAGCGGGTCAGCCGCCACTGTGGGTTTCTTGCCGCGCCTAGTTGAGCGGGTCACAGTTCGAAGTCCCGGTTTAGGGTTGCATACTTATTGTCTTCCTTTGATAAAGCTGGCATTTTTGGTTGCCTGCTGACTGAAGTTGGAAGGCTCTGCCCCCACAAATAACTTTAGGGGTTCGGTTTTGTAGTTCCTCCCTCTCCCTCCAAGGGGTCAGGCTTTCTCATAGTGGAGCCGGAGGCATTTGGCGATTCGAGTCAACAGCAAACCGCGGTCTCTTCTTTTGTGGTTACTTGCTCTTTCGTTTGTCTTTCCGATGACGATCCGGTCAAGGCGACCGTTATTTACAGCGTCTACAGTATGAAGGGTTCGGCAAATTGCAAGTCGACCTCGAAGGGCGACAAGAGTTTTCCTATGTTGACGTCAGAACCCAAAAGTGCCGCTTTGTTGTCTGGAATATCGGATTAACTTCGTCTCAATGTGACTGCTTTTGAAACGCGCGTCATCTGATGGTTTTCCAACAAGTGCAGTCCTGATATCATATCGACGTTAGATATACTGAAGCGACAAGAGTGGGCGTCTTTGCTTTCCTAACCCGTTTTTACCCTCAGGAAAGCCCCATTTTCGCATCCACTGTCCCTCAGCTTTCAAGCGCTAAATCACTCTCTTTATTTGCCAGACTGCCGTCAAGACGAGCCCTGCCGCTGAAGCCGCCAGCAGCCAACCCCTCAGACCGGAGAACCGGCAGAACTTGAACGAGCTGTGCGCGAAGCGAGGCTGGCCAATGCCGGACTACTTCGCCGTGTCCGAATCGGACGCGGCAACGGACGTACGGTTCACGTACGGCGTCAAAGTGCGGATGCTGGGGAAAGGGGAAGGGGCGACCGTTTCTGAGCTTATGGCTCACGGGGAAGCGATGCCGTCAATAAAAAAGGCGAAGGATTCGGCGGCGATCCGGCTTCTGCGGAAGCTGGAAGCGATGTCAACACCTTCGGAGGCCAGATGAGTCGTCAAGAGTCGATAACTACTGAGCGGTTAGAGCCAACTTCACGTCAGCATAGCTCGGCGAGGCCGAGTATATATGCAAGTCGCGGGCCGCACGCTTCCATTGGTCCGGGCCAATGCACGTCAAGACATTACGTTTGCTAGCATTTGCAATCTGTGTTGCTTTCGAGCTTATGGAGTAAATCCAGCATGTACTTTATCTGAGCGACTGTTTACAATCTACAGAAATACCGTACTAGTATACCATATCTGTGAAGGTGCTGAAGACTACTGGTTTTGACGAATACCTGGAATCTGAGATGCACGTCTCTGTTGGCATGTTGCCAAGGATCATCAATTGGCATAGTCATCCTGTCAACGATTTTCGCAATTTTCAAATTGCATGCACATGTCATGTTTGAAATTTAAATGCACCAGTATGGCCATATGTCAATCTATCATGCATGTCATTGGAATTGGAAGCAGGCGGCAGAACTATAGATAATTAGGTTGACGACATTCAAGTTTCTTCGGTACTGAAATAGTACGTAACGAATATAGTGCTGCATATGCGGAGGCTAGCTATATTATCGCATGCATGTGCCGCCGGGCAGGATCGCCCGGGCCGCGGCCACGGCCGGGCTCAAAGGCTTGCATGATAATTGTTCATATATAGGTTGCAACCGTCAAAAATATGACACAACGATACGTTTGACAGTGTGTGTGCATGCAAGCACACGATTCAGCATGAATACGATCTGAATACGTAGTATTCAGTAATTATCGTGTTCTCGCCGTGTACAAGTAAAACTCAGCTAGCTCTACATAGTAGCAAGACTGTCGACCAGCAGCTGCTTGCAATATGGACCTCTCTCCTCGGCCTAGCCTCGTTTCGGGTCACTTCGTTAACTCTCTAAATACCGAAAGGTAGTACATCTGGCTCCATAAACCGGCGCATCTATTTTGCAGTACGTTCCTAAGACCGACTACTCCTGGCTCATTGAACGGCGACTCTAAGTTGACACTCTACGACACTTTGAGCGGCTAAGTTCGTCGAAGTCACTAACCGACGGATATTGTCAAAAATCGAAGTGGGGCGAGATCGAGAGCGCGCACTTCTATCGCGACTGTACTCGAAGGAGGAGGACTTGATATAAGTGGGATGTACTTAACTAAAGACTTGGCGGTACGTATCCATTGGCCTTGCAGTGTGGGAAGAAGTTGTCGGGCGGATTGAACCCGTCGCAGCCGGCTGAGTCGCAGCACACGTAGCGCCCCTGTGGGTCATTGTTGTAGTAGCACCGCACGGGGAAGCTTGCTGCCGCTCCGGTGCCGCAGACGCCTGTCGAGATGACACGTGGCAGTTAATTGCCAAGCTAACTGCCAAATTAACTGCCAGTCAACTGCCTGGGTGCGTGAACATCGAACGATCGTGTCTTCGCTCGCGAATGAAGCCGTGCGAGAGTTGTGCAAAACGACCGGCTCTGGTAGAGCTTGTTCTCACAGTTTCTAGAGAGAAAAGAGAAAAGTCCCCCCAGGCGGAAGCCAAACGTGTCCAAAAGGCACAGGTAACCAAACTTTTGCAAGGGAGCCGATGTTTTTATCTTGTTCAGCTACATCTGAAAATGAGGCTTGCATAGAAATTTGTAGTTCGAATTTCTAGCTCTGAGTAATTCTGCGTGATCCTGTCTGTTAGATCTATGCACGTTAATGACCCCCCTCAAAGGGCTTCAAAGCAGCAGGGCTGCCTAGTCCTAGTGTTTCCCACACACTTACAAAGTGTCGTTCACTTCAAAGTGGAGGGTCTCTCATGTACCACGTGAGCACGCATCGACGGACGGCTAATTTCGGACAATGCTTATGAGGTGAGAATGTGACAAAAGAACGCGGACCTCACCTTGCGACCCGCTGGGGGGTGTGGACCCGCTGGGGGGTGTGGTGGGCTGGGCAGGCGAACCCCCCGCGCCGAAATTGCGCGGCACAAAACCGTAATTCTTGCAGTGGGGGGTCAGATTGTCCGAGTTGAACCCGTCACACCCCTGGCCGTCGCAGCAGACGTAGCGCCCCTGGGGATCGTTGTTGAACCAGCACCGCGTGGGGAAAAAGCTCGCGTCGCCTGTTCCGCAAACACCTGCGGCGAAACACCGGGAGAAGTGTTGAGTAACCAAGGTTGGTTTGTGGTGGGTCAAGTGCCCTTCAACCAAGCAAACCTGGGTTTGTATATGGTACACTGCCCTTTGAACCAGTCTTCTTAAGGGCGAAAAGTATTTGAAAAGAAAGAGGGCGAAAGCATTTTGGCGGGTGCAATGGGTTCAAGGGAGCGTCGTGCAGACGTGGCTTTGCGGCGACCAACTACGTGAAACATACGCCTCACGGTCGCTCGATGCTGCCGACTTCTCGGCGACTAGAAAGCAAAGTCCATCGTAGAAGTTACTTTTGTGACGTCACACGGATCTTCCGCCGACCTCCGAACCATTCAAAAAATGGAACATGCGATGCAATGGGCTAAACAGAAGCAGAACAAAGGGTTCTCGGCGTTCGAAACGGACGCACGAAGTGTTACGTTGAACCGTTCTTGACTTTAGAATCGTTGAAAAGGTGGCCCAATGGTCGAACTTTGGAGAAAACGGGAGCTGACGTAAGCATCTTCAGGATAAAGAAGAGTATCTTCTTGAAGCAAACAACTCGGGAGACGCTCCGCGCTTCCCGAGGTAGCGAACCGGTGGCACGCACTCTTCTCGTCCTAAGATCCAACAGCCAAGCATCCAGAAACTGGTCTCTTTCAAGCTGCAGGGTTCTTCCAAAACGACCATAGGGTCGCTCGGCCGTTGTTTCGAGACCGTCTCACCAAAACCTGCCCTGTCGTAAAAGAGCTGTAATGTCCCAGAAATAGAGTCTCGTCAGAGAGCGTATTTGGAATCCACGTACCTTGCGACCCACTCGCGGGCGGCCCCGCCGGGGGCGTAATCGCGGGGGGGGAGGGAGAGGCTCCGACGCCAAAGCCAGGTGGCACGTAACCGTTGGCTTTGCAGTGGGGGACGAGAAAGTCGGGGGGGTTGAAGCCGTCGCATCCGGCGGAGTCGCAGCAGACGTAGCGCCCCTGGGGATCGTTGTTGAAGTAGCACCGGGTGGGGAAAGCACCAGCGGCGCCCGAACCGCAGAAACCTGTACAATTGGCATTTTCTAGCTCTGAAACCGGTCCAGCACTCTTTTCCCTGCTTCGCAACGACTGGAAAGGTAAAATTCTACTGTTGTGAATGGTTTGACACGACTCCTGACTTGCTTCGTACAAAGAGGCGATTTTATGCGGTCGCTATCTAGATTTGCTTACAGCCTGCGAACGAATGCAATGCCGCCGGGCTCCAACACACGGGTATCTTCAGCCGAACCAACTGGCAGTTCGTCGTAAATTCAAAAAATCAGCTAGAAACATACGTAAAGAAATAACACAATGTTCGTAAATCTACATTAGGAGGACTCGCAGGTCCTAGCTTCGCACATCCCACAGAAGGTTTGGACATGAGCTGTTGAAAAAGTGCTAATCTCTTCAACCAGAAGGTCCCTTTCCCGCCAAACTTCGACTCACAAGGTGCAGTAAACGAGTCAAATTGTACGACTCGCAAATTATCATTGGCTCCTTTCCGAGCACGTCTCGGTCCGGATCTTTGTCAAGGGATTACATGCGTCTCACGTCACAGCTAAGGTATCCAAACAAGCGATGTTTCAGCATGCCTACTTAAATGTCGGAAGCCAACTTTCTGACAAGCACTTCAGGCCTGTATGTTTGACTACACCTAGGCGACAACCATCTGAAAAAAGCCTTCGTTCCGGATACTCTGAACGATTACCAAAGCGTAGATTCGCTAGAGTCTGAGGCTTGGATCGGCCTTGAGTCTATTCAGTTAGGCTGTACCTTGAGAGCCGCTTGGAGGGGGGCCGCTCGACGGGGGCCCGCTTGGCTCAGAGGTCTTCACCGGCTTGGGGAATCCGCCGTAGGCCTCCCTGCACGTTGGTTGCTTTGACTTTGTGAAGTTGCTCAGGACTGCGAATGACTTTCACATCTGTAAGTTGGCACAAAGAATTGTGCACCTTTTCAAGGGGACATGAACAAACTAGGGGAGAAGGGGATTGTCTCCGGTCGAACGAAAGGCAGGTTAAGAGTTACTCGCCGCTAGACCGGTTTGAAGTCTGGGCATCCGATCTCTGTAATTGAAGAGGCTGACTCCTGTCAATTAGGTTTGAATGCTTCTTTGACACCGAGTCTCGGTCCAGTGAAATAGAAGCATAGGGGACTGAAGGTGCCAAGCCTTGCATCAAGTGGCGGATGCTATGAGCGGAGATCCGCAGGAACTTTTGTTCTTAACCATGGATGGTTATGGGCTGGCTATGAGCTGGTTACAAAAAGGTCAAGTGTCGAGCAATCAGCCTTGGAACAAGTTTAACAGCCCGCTTATCTGTCCAGTAACCCGAGACTCAAGCCGGGCAATCAGCCTGGTTAGCAACCCAACTTTCGTTAAGGCCAGCAAGATGGCACACTCACGTCGTCTGAAGCGAGCACGTCTTCCCGCCAAAACCCACGGGGCAATTGCACGTAAAGTCGATGACGTCACCGCTGTCGCCTATCTGACGTCCGCACACGCCGCCGTTCTGGCAGGGGTCGGGAAAGCACACCTCTTGGCCTGCAAAGTTCCTTGGAAGAAGGATGTCAGCCTGGCGCCTTAAGTGATCACCGATCCCAAAGGCTTTGCGTTTCCGGTGATCAGAAGGGGGGGACGGAAACGGCACGCGAGGTCCAAAAGGAGGAAACGGGAACAATGGATCGAGATGTTGCTTTCCTGAACACGGCGGCCCATGTGTTGGCAGGCAGGAAACTCGGTCTTCTGACCGAGAGGAATCGATTGGAAGTGAGCCCACCGGTGATAGCCCTGCTTTAGATTAGCAAGAAAGTAGGACTGAATGAAGGGACGTTTTCAAGGGATAATTGTGCATCTAAGTCCCAAGAGAAAAAGTCATCCAACGGCCCAAATCCCATCCTAAACAGCCTTTAGCGACCACCCTGCGGGGCAGTATCTGGTTCCCAGAGGGGGAACCGGTCCCCTGACGCCCTCTTTAATGGAGAGCGACAAAGCTTTTTGGCAACAATTTTGAGAATAAATGTTCCAGAGAGGTGTTCAACCAACCAGAAATAGAGGTGTTTTAGAGAGACTTTTCTTACCAGGGATATAGCAACTGGTGTGGGATCCGAGGCCTTTGTAGCCTGTGTATGTTCCTCGAACATAGGGAGGCTTGCACTGGCAGTCATGTTGGTAAAAATATCCACCAATGGAGGCTCTGGGAAGCCGGGTACACACGTTGCCTGTACAATTGAACAAAGAAAACGAGCATTTTGAAAGAGTGAAAAAGGGATGAGAAGAGATAGGTTCGACTTCGGTTAAGAAGAAGCGTGGAGTAGAATTGCACTTCGCACATTAATGGTTAAGGGATGAGAAAAGGCGAATTTAAGGCGGAAAGAAGGTGAGACAACAAAGCCTCTAAGCCTGTAGGATCCAAAGCTTCTGGTCACAGACTATGGATCGGTTGGCTCAGCTCCTCTAAATCATACCAACTCCTATAGCAGTCAGGTTTGCACCTGCATCTCCCAACTCGCTGTCCACCCAAAGCAACAATCAGGTCATCAGTGTCCCATACCCCAGACAATTCTTCCTTGTTTGCACCAAGAAAAAAGCTCCGGAGTTGCTACCATTTTAGCGCCTGCTACTAGTGAGCAACCCACCTGATGTTTTACCTAAGACAACAACAGATTTCCCCAAAGCTTCCCTTTCTCCACTTTCTAGACCCATCAGACTCTGCTGCTTTTCGTCCATAAGTAGGACCCAACAAGGGTCAGAGCCCATGAGCTAAGAATGACATGAGCTGACAATAGAATTGAACCTTCTTACTTGGGTCAAAATGGGAACTTGACACGGACCAATATAAGCTTCCCAACGTTGTAGACAGTTAGGAGCCAAGAACAGTCCTCCATGGGTGTTGGTAGCTATGGGACATTGTTGCATGTTTCGTCCTTCAAGTTTCTGACTATACTCTTATTGCAAGGTCGTCCTTCTCGCTGTGGGCAAAACTGCAAGGATGAACGAGGGGACATTCTGACTTGTCAAAGCATCTGAGGCCTAATACTCCGCACATACCAAGCATTCATCGTGTGGTCAAATCAACTGATAAGAACGCGTTGCGTGGAAGTGACTCACCTGGGCCACAGCCAATGACGTCATTGTAACACGGGTCCTGGTCGCAGACGATCTCAGACGTGTCGGAGTTGCCCCGGTTGAGGGGGAGAAGGCCCGGCGGGCAAGTGTAGCCGTCGGCGCGTGAGTTATCGAAGCCAACCTGTGCATCTACACTTTCCCAGCATACGGCCAGCACCACTGCTAGCGCCACAAAGAAAACGCGTCCGGGCGCCATTTGGGCAAATTGTGGGCGGGAAGCACAGCAGATTTGGGGGAAGCCTAAAGTGCCGGGGGCATGAATTGGTAGAAAGTAAGCCTTTTCTCCTGTTTTGGGGGGCGCTAGCTGATGTCACCGGTGATGAAGGAAGTGTCAAGCTTGAATGTAGCTTCAACTTGTTGGAGGCGCCGGGGCGAGTAAAGTGATTGAGAATTTAAAAAATGAAAATCATCTGGGCATTGATGAGCAAGTGGTTGGCCCTCTGAAACCTGATATCCAGGAGGACGACTACCGGAAGGGAGAGAACCCAGTCTAGGCTCTTGCCCCCCTAACGTGACCTCACCTATAGGCTATATCTTTGCGTTTCAACTGAGTTTGGATCCTGGAAAATGCTGCAGTAGTTGTGATCTCATAGTATCCTTCAAGTTGCATCACTTTGACTTTTAGGTAGGTCCTCTGGCATGGTGCTGGGCAACAAGAGATGCACAAGAGCCTTACAATATGTACTGTAGCCAGCCTGCAGCATGATGCAGCAACTTTGTTTGCATGCAGTACTGCCGCCCATAGCCGTGCTGGAGACCTCAGGCTCGAGCCCGTACGTCATCAGGGTGAGTCGCAGAGCCATGTGGGCAGCGTGTCGAATCGGCTGTTGACGCGTAGCGGGCAATAACGAATCGCATCGTGCTGCGTGTCAGGGTGATCCCTTAACAGTCCGAGGTGACGTTGGCAGGACATTGTCAGACTGCGATTGACCGGTCCGGTCACCGTCATCCGGTCAGCTCAGGCCCCAGGGCTTGCGGCGGCATGACCTTACCTACATCGGCCGCCGTCTGTATGACGGCGAGGGCTTGCCTCTTTTCGTTGATTATCTATCCGATCAACGGTGGACAATCTGATTTGGTATCGTTCGCCGAAAGCTCGTTTGTACGGTCCAGATTTATTAATCGTGACACCAACGACCAAGTACGCACGAAACTTCGGCGTCGAAGTCTGCGAACATGCACGAAGTACGACACGAAGAGTTGCACCATTCACCGGCCGTACCAGAATGTTCGATTCGTAAACTGGCAACTGCGCCGCATGCGGGCCCAGTCGAAAAAACTTTCGCACCGCTATCCGGCCATTTTTCTATGCCGTACGCCGAGTTTTATCGTCGAACGGGGCCAAGCCGAGCAGGTCGATTTGCGGGCCCGCGCAGCGGCAAAAAACCCAATATGTATGGTTGCCCTACTTCCCTACGGGAAGAGGCAAGCCAATATGTACTTATATATATGCCTCATATGTATGCCAGCTCAAAAGAATGATGCAGTCACTGCCGGCCGGGGCTATCATTTCTATAAAAGGATTCACCTTATATTGCTGACGTCCAATCGAGTATATTGGTAGGCCGGTGTCTCTGACATATTCTGTGATTGTATGGCCCGACCTAGGCGTCATACAGGCTTGCGATTTGGACCAGGGTTTCTTCATGATTTGCATACTCCACATGCGCAAGATAAACTTCGATGCATCATGGCATATACATGAACCATGCAACACCATGCTCCGCGGGCAGCATGCCATGCACCGACTTGACTTCAAATGAGAAGCTAAGCATGGGTTAATGACTTGCGCTATCAGATTGAGCGTTAAAAGTTAGAATCACATGTCGAAAATATGTCATGTTGACCTACTTCCATTGGGCTCTTGTCCGTACACTTAACCTTGACTAGGCATGCGTGCTTCGTAAGATGGTTGGCCTCTTATTTACTGTAAACTTCCTATGGCTAACCAAAAGCCAGATACCTCATTGTGCGCCCACTTTTCCAAACTATAGGAAGTTCTGCTCCCGAGCTAGAACCAAGCAGCCAACATCTCACGAGAGCTCCGCAAGCTGAGAGCCATCTTAACCCCTTGGTGGCTCCCGCCTGTGGCCAATCCTTTCTTGCTTCCGCGAGGGCTATGCCCGAGTGGACGCTCACGTGCCAAGCGCTTCCAACGTGTTTAGTTGTGTTAGTGAGACTATCCTCAAAGAGGGTTCCTATGCTGCGTGCTCGACATCTGTAGATATAAGAAGTGGTTCGGGCTGTCTGGCCGACTGCAAGAACAGCCACCCCCCAAGAACTTGCAACGCAACCGGGGTATCCCAATGCCGAGTCGCGGGACCGAGTGGTGAGACGTGAGTGTGAGAATTTTCACCCTGTGCAACGTGACTAGCGGGATCGCTGTTAGAAAGTGTAAGTGAGGTGAGGTGAAATGAGTACGCGCGTGATCGCAAGAGCATCCCGCGCACTCTCGACCGCTCCTGGTCCTCGGCTGGAAAAGACACACAAAACCATTTGCTATCGTTCCTCCGCTATGACTCTGGGGACATCGCCGCAGCTTCATGCCGTTTGCAAAAGACAAACGCCAAAACGCAGTAGGAAGTCCAGATTGCACACAAGGCACCTGCGACGATTCATTTTAAACAAATCTTCCAGGACCTCAACTCCATCCGACCGATTCTGGACGATTGGAGGCATGTTGTAAATACATCTAAGGAAGATCATTCATGGAGCGCTGCTTCTCGATCAGTAAAGCTGAACGACAATCTTGCGCACTCTAGCCACAATCCTCTTCACAAAGCTGCTCTTGGAGAGGTCTCATCGAACGAAGATGGTAATCCGATCGAACCCGCAAAGAAAATCATTCCTGGAAAAAAGAAGAGTCTCCTTGCGAAAGATGGAGCATCATCTGGTTTTTTCGCCGTTGCTATCGTCAAGCTCGAGCATGCGCTCACCTTGAGTCCTCCAATTACGCTCCACGTGCTGCATTCGCCCTGGGAGTATCTGCTGAGTAGCCGCCCGAAAAGATGTTTCCTTCCTTCTTGTTTTTACAAAGTTTCCCCGCCTCCGGAGAAACGCTGTCTTCTCTAAACCTTTTGCTTCTCAGCAGCCAGAAACCCGAAGCTGGACTCAGCCTTTCGTGCGACCCATTGCACCAACCCCAGCCCACAAACTCACCTCACACGTCATCAAAGAGGAATGCTGGCTTGATCTTCCGGGCCACCTCGCTGACGTCAGCCTCGAAGTAGCGCCGCCGGACGCGCGGCCGCTCGGGCGCTTCCGACTCGACGCCGTCGTCTGGCGGCAGCAGGATTCCGCCCTCGCCCAGGTCGGGCGGAGTTTCGGGCTTGGCAGGGCGCAAACGCTTCCGCTTCCGGCCGGCCTGGAGGAACGGTAACCAGAATCACCGAGTTTATCGCTTGAGACTTTGAAGTTTTTGTAGAGGACGGGGCGCGAGCGCTTCGGCTTCCGACCATTCTGGAAGGACTTGAAAACCAACCCTTTGAATCTCTAGACTCTGAGGGCAAAGGGAATGTTGGAGCAAAGGGCTTGGAAGCCCTGATATTGCGTTTTTCGATATCGGGCCAGCCCAAGAAGAAATCAGCCAGGCAACAGAGTTCTTGATCCGGAGAAATTTATCAGAGCGTCTCCGATCCGGTCACCCTACGAACAAAACAGCAGCCCTTGATTTGCAACGCCCTGGCAGCGACATGCCAGCTCGCAACTGGAGCAGAGCAGCCACTCTCCCCATTCGGCATAGTACATCTCGACGACGTAATTAAAGTTTAATCACTTTGGTACTCCGGTTGACGTTGAGGATCTAAAGATCACCTCCCCAATGGCTTTTCGGAGGCTCACGGAAAGTGAGTCTTCCCCACCTCTTTGAGCGCCCTCGCCAGCGTCCAGGTCCGTTTGGTGGGGTGGTAGAACCCACACTTTTCGCCCTCCTCGCACTGCCCATCTGCGGCGAACTTGGGACACACGGACGTGTGCTTCTGCGGACACGTGTCGCCACGTGGGCAGAACCCCTGGAGGAACTCGCGGCAGACGGGCGCATTCGGCACGACGCTGACGTGGCGGAACGGGCACCGCTCATTGGTGCACGTGCCCTCCAGGAAGTACTTGCAGACGGGCATGCGCTCCGGGATGATCTGGGCGGAGACGAAGGTAGTCTAGTGACTCAATCACTCACGAAAGTAATGAGTTACTTATGAGTGAGCAAGTGGGGAGAAAGGCACGGACTTCAAAGGTTGGGTGGAAACATGTGGCGGAACTCAAACAAAGTGATTGCGGATCAAAGGTCCCCCTAATCTGAAGCTGGGGACGTGAGGCAGGACCGAAATAGAAAGTGATTCAAGAGATGATGTACAAGACCTTCTATCAGTTTTAGAAGCGGCAAGCGACAAACGAGCGCTGGTTTGGCCAAGTTTGCGACAAAACCACCGAAGATGGTTGACCACGCCGGCGACCCGCATTATCCGGTCATTGCAAATCAGATTCGTTGCAAAATGGTTTAAGGAAGACACCTGAAAAGCGGGTGCCTCACCTTGTGGGTGAGGGTGCAGTCCGAGTTCTCGCACCGCCCAAGCACGAACTTGGTGCAGATGGCCACCTTGTCCTTGTCGTGCACAAACGGACACGTGGCACCCTCGCGGTTGCACTTGCCTGCGTGACAAGGGCAAAAGCGTTCAGATTTGAGGGGGCAAGAATTGGAATCACGGCATCGACATTGTGCTTCAAGACCGGAACACATCGGTACTTGTCTGGCTTGACGAACAGCGTCCACTTAAGTCAATACTTCGTTTCTAGAAAGCAGAGCAGGCAAAACGCCTCAACAGCAGTTGACTGCAACGAACAACCGGCCGTCTTTTCTGCTCTCCTTTCTTAAATGAAAACTGCGTGCTATCATGATAAGCGTGAATAGGCACCGAAGCGAGAGTCACCCCTAAATGGTAGAACTTCCTGTCGAAATAGTTCTTTGAGTATTCATTGATATCACCTTTTCATCCATCCGTTTGTTTGACTCAGGCCCCCTTATTCAAATGTTGCCAGCAAAACTCTGAACCTCCGAGTTTTTGAGCAGATCATCAACGCCTCACCATACTTCGTGAAGTACGGGCAGAGCGTCTCTCCCTTGGTCGCCCTGCGCCGCCGCGCGTTCTGAAGCGACCACTTCAGCCGCCCGCTCGCGAGCGTTTTCCGCGCAGAGGTCGGGTCAATCACCAGGCGGTCGCTCGTTCCCTGCCGGACGAATGTCTGCCCGTTCACACTGGCCCGTCTCGGGGTCGTGGCGGGCGGAGTGAATGCTCCCGGGGTGGTGGGCTCGGACACGCGGACGAGCGTCCGTCCGCCGGCGTCCATTTTGTACGTAGCCAGGCCCACCGTGATCACGCGCTCGCCTGAAAGGAAGCGGGAACACGGCTTGCAAAGTTGACTGACTAAATCTGTTTTCTATCAAACGCCATGTACTACTGTGAATGCAGACATTGACGCCAACCCCGGCAGCCCCTGTGGAGTCACACGTTACCACCGAGCACGGTCAAAGGCACGAGGTATCACCTCAAACGGGTAAGGCGAGCGGGATTCACAAACAGGACTAACGTCTGTGCTTTCATTTAGTGCCAACTCGACCTAGGTCTTTTCAGGGGGCTTTTGGCGACGGTTGGAAGCAGCCCTCTGGACAAATCAAAGCAGAACAGGTTTTCCATTTTGAGTACCGAAGATCCACGTGCCGTTTCTTCATGTGCTCGATAGATAGATGTTGTTTAGCCATTGTAAATGACTGGCGAAAGCGTCTGTATACTCACGATTGGGTGGGGCCGCTCCCGGCCGCCTGCGCAGGCTCGCCTCCAGGGATGCTCGCCTCGAACGAGCAGTCGCCCGAGCCGCCGCCGCGGCCTTCCGCTTCCTAGCGCTAGTCCCGGCTGGATCTCCGTTGTCGTTCTGGGGGAAAAAGAAGCAACCTACTTACTTTCTCGTCCTCGAAAGGTAAGAACATCCGGAATAGATGTGCTTTTGCGGTGAAGTTCATGGTGATTGAGAGCCTGCTGTGGTGAGTATCCGTGTAGTCTAGCAGGGCTTGTGTTGAATAGTTGTTCGGGGAAGTGATTAGGGCAGGGCAGTAGGGATCATATGCGCAGAATGAGTTACATTGAAGAACAAAGCGGTGGCTTCCTCAAAAACTACCGGAGAAAGGGCTGTTTCTTGCCGTATATTGACGTATCAGTCTTCAGCCGCAGTGGTTTGACCTCCTTTAATGAATGGTCCATAAAAGTATATGATTTGCTTCGACATGTCCCTCGCCGAAACGCAAGAGACCCAACTCAACAGATGGACCTAGAGCAGTTTCTTTCTCGAACCAATTGAAAACGACAAAATTAAGCGGACAAAGTTTTTTAACATACGGGGACGAGGACAATAGGCTGGACTAAAGGACTCACATCAAGAGACCCCCGCACTGCTTGCGCAGCCTTCTCCGCAGCCTCCTTTCGTTTCTTGCCCCCGGACAGCGTCCACTTGAGATTCCCTTTGAGCCCCACCGCTCCCGTGCGCTTCAGCGACAGCCCGTTGGTGGACTTGGCATAGGTCGACGTGTAGCTGCGCTGGCCGCGAAGTTGTCTGCAGTATCAAAAAGTGGTCATCGACTTCGTTATTAAAGTATGCGACGAACAAGCGTCAAACGAAAAGACGCTTGAGCTGAAGCCGGGTTCATATGAAAAGCAGGGGCTTTATCAAGCATATTTTGACTTAGTGGCCCTGAGAAGGGGCACAGGCTTGCATAGGTAACACTTTGAGATAGACAGGTAGACGGATGCTTCTCCCTTTATGTCCCTAATACAATCTTTTCTAGAAATCATAACCACTACAATAATACAATCTCTTCTAGACAGGTGAACAAGGATGCGATTGTCTCTCTTGCCCGGCATTTAACATCTACGACTCCAAAGGTACTCTAGGAAAACGCAGGCAAGACATGCGGAGCCAACACGGTGCAGACTGAATCCGCTGGAAGGAGCGCCAGTCGTTGTCCACTTCGCCAACGGACAACCAATTCCTTCTCTCTTTTTTTCTCAACCCCTTGTTTCCCTGTATTTCTCTCTTCCTAACCAGCTGACGACTCACCTTAGCATGTTCAGCAGCGACCCCTTCTCGTCCGACCAAGGCAATGGAGTCGCCCACCCTGGCGTTCTAGCCGTCCCCTTTTGCCTCGACCATTTCAGCGCCGCCCGCCTCTTCACCGCGCTTTGGCGCCCCACAGGTTTCCCCGGCCCCAGCCCCGACTTCTTGGCGCTAAACTTCCCGGATCCTCTCGGGCCTTGTCGCGGCGATTTCAGGGAACTTTGCCTCAGCTTCGGAGCGCCGCCTGGCGTGACAGGGCCTCCCAACTTCCAGGTCAAACCCCGCGCTCCCTGCTTCCGCCTAGGGCCCTGTAACAGCGGGGTATGCGGGGAGGCGGCAGAAGTCGCACCCGATGCAGCCGACGCCCGCTGCCAAGACAGGGCCTTTCGCTGATGCACCGCGTTACCAACCGGCCTCTTCAGTGCCCCAGCACGTAATCCGCCTCGCTGCTTTCCCAGCCCCCCTCCAACCTGCCTTTTTGATTCCCCCGGAGTCGATTTGCCCGACGGTGCGACCCCCCGGTTGCTCAACACCGCCCCGGCCCCCTTGTTCCCACCAGTATCAGCCCCCACTCCGGACTCCGAAACCGGTCGCGACGCCTGCGCGAGTGCTCCACGCTGTGGAGTCACTCGCCTCACAAGCACGTTCTTCCGCTTCTTAATGTACGCCAACCGCCGCGTCTGCTCCGAGGCGCCGCCACCTGGCGGCGCTTCTTCCTTGCCACGTGGCAGCTCCTGCTTTGCTGACTTGGACCCAGAGTCTCCAACCATAGACGAACTTGCGACCTCGGCTTGCCGCTGGATAGAGTCTCTCAGCGCCTTAATCGTAGCTGCAAGCGCATCTTCCGGAGAGCTCTTTCCGAGGGGTCCGGCAGTTGAGAAACCTGAAGGGAGCTGCTTCTCTTGACCCCCTTTTGGTGGGTCGGGAGAGGGCAGCGATTGTCTTAAACCTGGGTGGGGAGCGTTTTGCCCTGGTTTTGTTGTGGTCCCGCTGCCAAAGGCGAGGTTGGTCCCAAGGGCCCCGGAGATGAACGGCGCAGATATGCCAAACGCGGAACCCTGCTGTGCTGGAAGGCCGGTGGATTTGGGGGGGCTAGTAGAATTGAGGAGCATCAGAGGCTGGCTTTGTGATGGCTTGCCTTCCGGCGGGTTAGTAGCGTCAAGTGGCTTAACTGCGCTGCCAAACTGGAGGCCGGGGTTGAGAAGCCCAGGGAAGACGGGCCGGCTGACCAAGGGAGGTTTTGCTTGAACCGCGTTTTGTCCAGGAGCAGACTGGGGAACCCCAACAGATGGCGTCAGTTTCGGAGGAGATGCCGTAGCAGCGGCAGGTTGGCCTGCTCCCAACGTGAGCAACCCTCGGGCCTGCCCTGCCGGTTGCCGAGACCCCGCCTCTGTCTGAATGGACACGCCCGTCGATTGTTTCAAAGTGGTACCCCCTGCTTTGGTTTGGGCGCTCGGTTTGGGACCCGCATTCTTGTGAGCAGCTGACGCTCCTGCAGCCCGTTTGGACGGCCCCACTGGCGCTGCAATATCAGACGCTTTCCCTGCTTCCACAGACCGTGCCCCAGCCGTTTCGGACGCCTTCTCTGCTGTTGCGGACGGCTGCCTCACGGCGTCGGACGCCCTCACAACCACCGCAGTCTGACTTTCCACAGTTTCAGACGCCATGACTCTCGTTCCCAACGCCCCAACGACCGTTTCGGACGCTCCGAACACCCCTTCGGACAACCTGATCGTCCTTTCGGACACCCTAACCGTCGTTTCGGACAACGTGACCGTCGTTATGGACGGCTTGACCGTTGTTTCGGACGGCTTGACCACCGCTTCGGACGCCTTCTTGCACTGGGACGCGAGCGCTTTCGCCCGCAACTCGGCGAGCAAGCCCTCGTCCACGGCCGGGGGCTTAACAACACCAGGGGGCGCTGATGTCAGCGGACGGGTCCCCAAGACAGCGCCAGCTGGCAGAGAGCGCCACCCTGGAGCCGGCTCGGCAGCTGAGGGAGCGCTCTGCAGTTTTGCAGAAAGGGGTTTGGTTTGCACCGGCTCGGCAAGAGGATGCTCCGACCTCTGAGCAGGCGCTTGGGCTCCCGCTTTCGTTGGATCTGAGGGATACCCTGACTTCCCGCTGCTCGACTGGGGCAATTCGTTGGACCCAGAAAGAGCAGGCGTGCCCGCCAACCCGACCCCAGGCAATCCTGCACTTTTGGCTAGCCCCTGTTCTGCCGAGAGGACTGCTTTCGGCTGTACACTTGAACCTCCAGGTTGGACACTCGTTCCACCTCCTGTTTCCAACTGAACCGGCTCCGTATGAGCAACCGCACTGGTCAGATTCTCTCGCGCCTTGAATCCATCCAGCTCCGAAGCCTTCTCCAGCAGCCCTTTGGAGGCCCCAGCTTTGCCGCCGCTTCCCCCCGCATGCTTCTTGAAGGCTACACTTTCCGACCCCCCGGCCGCCTTTCTCTTCCCAGTCACTGTCTCCACGAGCTTTCCCTTCAAATCCTCCCCAGCCTTCAAAGCCGCTTTTTGCTGCCCAACATCGTCACCCCGACTCTCTCCTTCCGAGGTTGGCTGTGAGACGCCCTTTCCCACAGTGTTAATCACTCCAGATTGCCCGTTCAACCTGGAAACTCCCTCGTCGGCTTTGCGCTCGCCCGCCTCTGCCGCCACCTGGCGACCAACGGTGCTGCCAACTGGCGCGACCATAATTGATGCGCAAGGATCCGCTCGTCTCTCAGCGTTGCTGCTTACGTCAGATGGCTTCTGACGCGCTTCGCTGACCCCACTAGTCTTCCCCTGCGCCGTTACCTGTCCCCTGCTCTGCCCAGACGCCAATGCATGACCAACACCTCCAAGCATTTCTGTGTCCCCTGACAGCGTCTTCTCACGACCCAAACCAGAATCCGCTCTTCTCGTCACAGGAGCCCCACTGACGTCGCCATCCTCCGAACCCCTCAAACCCTCGCTAGCGCCCTGCCCCACCTTTGGCCCTGACCCGATCAAGCCTTTCCTCGCATTGGAGCCAGCCGTGACGACCGCCGCCTCCCCCAAAACGCTCCTCTGACTAATTTCCAGCCCTGCTGCAGTGCGTTCAACCCGCGACTCCTTGGGACCGCTCCCAGTGCCCCCTGTTCCGACAGCTTCGCTCCCCAGACTTCTTACACTACCCCCTCCTTCGGAAATGCTCGCCCCCTTCAAATCCGCCCCCACTGCACTTGCTCCGTTTTCCACATCCGAACTGGGGTTCGCCGCCAGCTTTCCAGGCGCCCCCCCGGGTCCACCAGGCTCGCCTTCCAGCTTTGCAGTACCCCCACAAGCAACGGTGGGGCCGGTCCCGGGCTTCTCTACCCCCCCGGAAGTTTGCTGCCGCTGCTGCAGGGCTTCCTTTTTGCGCAGCTTGCCGAGCTTCTTCCGCGACTTCCGCGCCACCTGGCGCAAGATCTTGATCTGCTCGTGGATCGGGAACAGGGGCTCGCTAGAGTTCGACGCCGCACCTTGAGGATGGGTAAGAGGGGAGTTTAGTATTGGCAACTTTCCATCAAGTGAGCCCTCAGGAGCTCGAGTAGGGAGAGGTCTTATGTAAAGGCTAGCAAAGCGTCCCATCGCCCGAAGGTAAGTAGAGGTCAGGTCTTACCTCAAAACCTGTCCTGTATCACCTGAATCCTGAAACAGGGGCTGACAACATATGAATCTCAATCGAGAATATGCGATGTTTTAGAATCAAAACTTTTATTTTTTTCCCAGTGCTTGCAATCGTGATGAAAAGGTGGGGGGAAATAGCAGATCTTACAGCATCAACCTTTAACTGTGCAGGTTGGCAAAGAACCATCGAGCCGAACCTTGACACCCACTTGAACCTAGCCTTCCATCAGCAGCATTTGGTCGGCCCTTCACGTCCCTACATAAGGAGCCGCCCAAAGCGGCGACGAAGACATACACTCAAATTCCAATCCACACTTCAACCAAGTCTTGACACCCAATAGACGTCGACTCACCATCAGCAGCGTTCGGCCGGCCCTTCACCTCCCAGTACGTCTGCATGATGAGCGGCACGTTGTGCATCCCGACGATCCCCTGCAGCTTGGCCAACTCCTTGGACTCGTGCGCCTGGCCCTTAAGCCGCTGGAGTTGCTTCTTGGACAGCTTGGACGCGCCATGCATCAGGTTTAGGGCTTGGACTGCCTGCGCGCTGGGGGGATGGGCGGCAGGAGGGGGGTCCTTCACCAGTCCTGCAAGAGGAGTGATCACAGACTGTGGTTAGGATGCAAACACTGGGGGATTTGATGATGGTAACAAGGATCCATGCATGTGTGCCGCAGCACTAGTCATAAGATCGACCATGCAGAAAGCATGGGGTTGCAGTTTGAGAAGCAAAAGAGACCCTTCAACAGTCCTGGAAAAGTGTGCGGCTGTTGACAGAACAGTGGTTTGCCAAGTTCTTGCAATTAATTGTACAAAACTTAAAGTAGATCAAGTCGTACATGGTTTCAACGTTGCAGAACTGTTGCAAGAAGAATAAGCATACACTGGAAAGAAGGCTGGGGGAAGAACATAGAATATGGACAAGAGAGCGTGCAATCCACCTTGTCAGTTCAAAAGACCTCATAGGAGAAGGAGTAAAGCAAGATGCAGCTAAACAGTCTGAGCCTTCCTGATACTCGACATGCGCCAGTCCAAAACCCTCTTAAACCATACCTTGGTCCAGCAGCTTTTGCAGCCTCTCAGGGATCTTCCACACCTGCCGGTCCTTCAGCTGCTTCCCCTCCTGGTGCTTATTCACACCGTCAGGCTGCCCTGCCCCCGCACCGCTCCCCGCAGGTGTGGTGTCCCTATTTACACCAGTCTCTGGGCCCCTATTTTCACCACCAGAATCCTCACTCGTCCCTGCTCCAGCCACTTCAGTCGCCTTCTGGACCGACACAGGCGCCTTCACTGAAATGCTGGGAGCTGCGGTCTGTGAGCTTCTGGGACGGGGGTTTTGGGGGGGTGGGAACACTGACGGTGGGGGTGCAATCAAGATGGGGGCCGGGGATGGACGAGGAAATGAGGTGGAGGGGGTGTTCTCCCGTGGCTTGTTTTTGGCAGCAGGGAAGGAGAGCCGCTCCTTAATCTGTGCAAGGCGCGAGTTGGCAGCAGGGGTCTCGGGCTCTGGACCTCCAGAGGGGCTCCTTTCAGGCGGGGGGGGAGTGATGGAAAGGCGCTCCTTGATCCGAGCAAGGCGTTCATTTGCCTGGCCACGTTCAGGGGGTTTGGATTCCGGATTTTTTCTGCCGGACGCATGCTCCGTTGTAACCTTCCCAGTCGGAGACGAAACGCGTTCCTTGATTTCTGCAACAAAGTCTTTGACTGGGTCCCAAGGGGCTTCTGCCGAGGGAGGCCGTTCTAGGGGTTTCCAATGGACAGAGGGCGCCGCCAGCTTTAAGGGAGGAGTCGCGGAGAAGCGCTCCTTGATTTCTGCCAGGCGCTGAGCAAGTTGAGCGTGACTAGTCAGTACGGTTCCTTGGTCCCCCCCAACCGGATGTGACAATCGCCCGCCCCCTCCTCGCCCCGCCGAGAGCTTCTGCCAATCTCGAGGGTGGCCAACCAAAGGGCTTGGCAGCCTGTTCACCAGCGTTGCAGAGACTTGACCCCCCCCTTGGTTGGAGTTGGGACCCCCACGCTGATCAGTGCGAACTCCCCCCTCCCGCCGGATATCAACAGGTGCCCCGCGAGCGGTGTTGAAACCCTCTCTCCGACTTGTCTGTACGTCTTTCCCATGGCTGTCGTTAACACCCCCCCCTGAAGCTGTTCCCGCCTTGGCACTCTGCCACAGCTGCACCTTCTGCTTAATAGCGTCCGCAAGGGGGGAGGTCTTCGGGGGGGTGGGGGAATCTCTGTGGCGCTGCAGGGGGGTGCTCAGCTGGAAAACCCGAGGGTCCTGGAACCCTGGCGGCGAAGAGACGCCCCTGAACTCTGGCGCGCCCGTTAGAGACCCCTCCGGCTTCCGTTGGTTTTCTGGCTTTCCAGGAGAGTCTTTGAGCAATTCACCAGCTTTTCTGCCCTCATCTCGTTCAGCTCCTCGCTGAGATGCCCAAGCACCCCCCCTTGAGTCAGTGCGCTCCTCCGCGTTGCGCTTCCGAAGTTCCTCGCTCGCTCCTTGTTTGACACTGGCTCCCCTCCCACCCCTTGGCTGCAGTCTTCTTCCTTCTTGAGCGTCAACTTCACTGCTTCTCAACCTGACAGCCTTCCCGGCCTTTGCAGTGCTGCTTGAAGTGATACCCTGAGCAAATGCCGCCTTCCCCTCTCCTCTCTCAGCAATTCTCGTATTCTCTTGCAGGTCCCTTCCTTCCCTCTCCCCATTCCTCGCGCGCTTGGCTGGCCCCCCTGGACCCCCCTCTTCCTTGCTGCGCTTCCGAGCACTCTCAACCACTCTCTGGCCGCCCCCTGGCATGCTACCTCCAACTTGGCCCGGACTCTGGCTCGTATGGTTCTTGCTTGGAACCACTGAATCTTGCGCCAGTATGTCCTCAACCCATGCTGGCCTGCTGACACTGCCGCTGAACCTGGGACTGCCTGCTGCTCCACCGAAACCTCCGCCAGGTTGCTGTAACACCCTTTGAAGCCATGGACCCTGGTTGTTGTCTCTGCCTCTGAAAGGCCTCGCACCTGGTGGCCCAGGGAATGGCAGCAACCCCTGAGGAAAAAACACAATCATCATTCTGATGCCTTCAAACTCAGGCCGACATTAATACAATAGGCGCCAAATCAGAAAGCTATGTCACCAATCTAACCATGAAGTAGCAGCATGCTTTTCAGACCATCCCTGGAACATATCATGAGCTGTTGTGGTTTTCTTGGATACATTCCACAAAAAAGGTACCGTCAAAAGGTAGCCAAAATTAGACCAGAGCATGAAACTTCATAATCATGTTGGAACTCATGGTTGATTCAAAGAGCACGTTTCAGATTAAGCCTGTAACGTCCCACTGGGATGCTGCAGCAGTTTCTTCATGTGGAGTCCACCAAAATTCTATGATTTGCAACCCAGAAAGTCTTTTTTTCTGCACAAAGCTCGCGTCGAGAATTGAACCTGGCCTTGATTGATCAGAGCTAAAGAACATCAGCAGTGACAGCATTGCTCATGGCAGTCTGCCAGATGGAGCTCTCAGAAACCATCAGACTCTGTACAGCCACACGCAGCTGCCTTTGACAGCTGATCATTGCAAGGATGAAAGTGATGCACCTATCATAAAAAGCCAGGATCGCACCCTGCTTCAGCCTTACCTGGGGTTCTGAGTTGAGCCACATAGGTGGACCATTGTGGAATGGTGGTGCAGCAGCGTTGAAGGGCACCGGCATGACTTGATCCTGCAACGGGGCATTGCTGATGAATGGTCTGGGGTAAGGAAAACCCGGAGGAGGAGGGAAAGGGAGGGTTTTGAACGCAAACTCGGGAAGCAAACGACCAGACTGTTGGCCCCCCTCACCATTGGGGCTAAAGCCCGGAGGATAGCCATCCATGTCCACAATTCGAGAACAGACTTTCACCTCGCCTACATCCAAATTCCTCCTTGCCTGTTGCAATGAGAGAAGTCAGAAAGCTCCTGAAGTGGCCTGAAGTGGCGCCTCTCAGCTCTAGCTGTCCTTTCCTTCTGCTAGCGCTGCCAATGCCATGCTCATGTGTGTTTGTGTCAACTCAGGCATGCAATTATAACTAATAAGGGAGCAAGGAAGTCCTGAGCAAACGAGAGCCGGGGGCGGATTCCGAACGTCCTGGAGGCTGGCGCTGGGCTCCCTATGCAATAGCCACCGTCAATCCACTGATTGGCCCCAAGTCGAGCCGTCGGATATGTTCATCGGCCCTGGGCTTCATCGGGAGGCTCCGTTGATCATGATGACATTTGCGATAAGCGGCGAAGCGCTCTTGACGCTGCTGGGCCCGGCCCAAGTCGATTCACCACGTGGACCTGCACAGCTCAGCTGGCACCTTCGGATTGGGGTGTCGAATCGGGATCAACGGTTTGATAACGGTAAAGGTCAGTGAGGGGATACGACCCAAGTTCAAGCTTGAACCAACTCCGGCTACGTAGCCCTTCTTGAAGTTCTTCCACATTGCCGTCTCTCCATTTCCATGTTGTACTGGAGAGACAAAGCATTGAGTAGGGGGGACTCAGAGGGGACTCAGGAGCGCTATCGTTCGCCTTCTCGCTCCAGCCGTCATGGACGAGGCCCTGAGCTTCCCCCCCCTGTTCGCCTCTCTGTCCACTCAGGGCTTCGGAAAGCTGGAGTTGCAGAAACTCCTTGCCCCGCTTGCAGGCCTTTTCCCCCCGGAAACCAATGTCGACCCTATACCCAGCACTTCCGGCCGCGGCATACAATTCCAAACTTACACCACTGATGGCGCAGGTGCACCCGCTGAGACTATAAGGAGACGGGGGGGTCGGCGTCACAAGCCGCCGGTCGCATCAGTGCTCGGATTTGGGCCCGCTCCTAGATATGAAGAGTTCGACGAGGCGGCGGAGCAGTACGTGCTGGGGAAGAAGGCGGAGGAGGGAAGGCAAGGGGAGGAGACTGCCAGGCAGACGGTTAGCGAAACCCGGGAACAGATCCGGAAAGGGGTTAAGGACGCAGGGGAGGCGGTGCAAGAAGTCAAGCAAAAGGCAAAGGGGCGGTTATCGACTACGAAGCTACGGGTTAAGGTTAAGAATGTTGCTGCGAAGCGACTGATCAGCGGGGCATTTGCGGGGGCAGTGTCGAGGACGGCGGTTGCCCCGTTGGAAACGCTGCGCACGCATTTGATGGTCGGTAGCAACGGGAAGAACATTGGGGAGGTGTTTTCAAATATCCTTGCAAACGAGGGGTGGCGGGGGTTGTTCCGCGGGAATGGTGTGAATGTGCTTAGGGTCGCACCGAGCAAAGCCATTGAGGTGAGAGCGCAAATTGGATTAAGGGGTGCTTCCAACTTGTTGGTAATGATGTGGAGACGAGTGTTTTGTCATCTCATGTGCTGGCGAGTCTTGTTGGGATCAAGGTTGAGCAAGTTACAAGTGCTGAAAAGATGCTGGGAGCCTCAGGAGATTGATGTATGTTCTTAATCAAGCTGATGAGCAACCTCTTTGCAGTGTTGTTGGTAGTGTATGTAACGTACGCAGCATCAATTTGCCGGTGTATATACTCATTTCAGGAGATTCTGTATTTAGATCTTTCACATTGCTCCCTCTCACCTTTCTATGGCCGTCATTGCGTGTTTTCTTACAAACAACTTTTCATGTCCAAGATCTGTGGTATCTGGTTTATTACCGGTTCGCTTAGCTTGTTGTTGACGCTGCATTTTTTGCATGGACAGCTGGAGCAACTGCTGTTGCAAGCTGATTTTGCTGAAGTGTGCACATGCTCTTGTGCATGCGCAATGCTGACATGCGCATTCGCCCCTGTGATGATCGATTCTGGTTTGCAGAAGTTTTGAGATGATGTTTTTGAAATTTGGATGCAATTCGCACAGCCATGATCTGTTAGGGTTTCATTGCTTAGCTGAAGCACTCTATGCATGGCCTTAAAGATAAAGTATCATCTCGTCTGTGACCTTCAGGCGGCAGGAGCATCGTGGGTCTGGTGCACTAACATGTGCTGATTTTCAAAGTAGTTTCTTCAGTGGGAGGAGCATTTCTTGAGTAGTTTCTTAGTATAAGCAGCTTGTGGTTCTTGTCGAGACTGTCAGATGTGATGATGGACCGCTGGATTCTACTTGGCAACATGGGATCTTGTTCTTATTGCAAAGTACTAGTGTCATTTACTCAGGGGTGGGGTATGGCTTTGATGACAGTGTGCCAGACCAATGAGGAATGACGATCCATCTTGCTGAGGACATCGGCTGCTTTAGTTATCTACACATGTTTTCAGTCCAGACCGGTTGCATTTTGGGGTCCTCTTTGTTGAGTACAGCAGCTTTCATGACTCTAAAAATTCCGTTAAGAAAAATTGGAAGATCAAAGGTTGTGGTGCGGTGAATGTTGCAGGCATGCCGCACTCATCATTCACTTTGTCGTCTGTGGTTCGTGCGAAGGTTTAAGACAGTACACAAGACAGCAGAACATGCGTCTATGGATGCACTCTTGTGTTGTTTCATCACTTTGTTGTCGAGCTTTTGCCGTCTTGGTCTTAGTGGAGGCCTTCTCGCACGCCCGTCACAACCAGTGGTGCTTCACAATTCACTAGCCTTTGCTTGTTACCAGCTCAAGTACTACCTAGCCCTTTCCAGTTTGAGGGAGACTATTCAACACATAGCCCTTTCCAGTTTGAGGGAGACTATTCAACACAAAAAGTTCGTCGGTGTCTGCTTAGCTCTCTGCATCTGCAAGCTTTTGTTCGAAAGGCATTTGTTGGTGTTTGCTTAGATCTTGGCACTGCAAGCATCATCTACGAAGGCACGCAGTACGTTCTTGACTGTCTGATTCACTCCTGTTATAGAGTTGCGTTGAGTGGCCTTCTTTGGTGCAGCTATTGACTTTGCACGAAGTGCGCACGTTCTCTGCCATTGCATACAGACTGTATTAATCACTTTGCGACGGTGTGCAGGTCTCCATTCTCAGGATTGTCAGATCAATGGACTGTTTTCCTTCTTGCAGTTATTCGCGTTCGACACCGTCAAGCGCATACTGACGCCCAAGGACGGGTCCTCGGCCAATTTGCCGGCAGGGCTGCCTGTGGCGACCGTGGCGGGGGCGTCCGCAGGACTGGCCTCCACTCTATGTACCTACCCCCTGGAGCTCCTGAAGACCAGGCTGACAATCCAGGTGAGCTTGAGATCTGGCTGTAGATTGGCTTCTCGGAACACCCCAGGCTCAGCAGTGGCAGCAGCAAAGGTCGATGGGCCACGATGACTGCTATACGTTTGTCAACCCGTTCGAAAAGTTTCGGCAGACAATGGTGTCCATAATTTGCAAGAGTCAATATCGAGTAGCAATCTGCTGGTACTAAGGGTCTGTAGGGCCTGTCACAACATACCATTTGGATAGGGGCCGTGACTGCTTACTGCCAGAGAAAGAATGGTTAGTTGCTAAAAATCCTGAAGGAAAACAGCATCGTTATGCTTTGAGAGTGTACACGTGCTTCAGATACTATTATGTGCAAGCAACATGCTGGGCAACTTGAGTAGAACACCTAGTCGTAAGTTGTGAAGATGAGGGTCAAGTGTTTAAGATTTGGTTCAGTCAAGACAGCATGCGTAAGAACGGGGGTGGGTTGTTACTTGCGGACCAGTGGGGATGGCCGTCCTCGTGTTTTGCCGAGGAAGATCGTGTTGACGTAAGAAACGGGGTCTGTGTTGATTTGTGGGTTCCCACATCCGCCTCTGGAGTTTTTTGGATTCACTGTCGCGTCAGTATCCAGAAAAGTGGCTAGGGGCGCTCAGTTTCGTTAGCAATGCCGTACTGAACACCTCTTCAGTATATGCTCTGTGACAGAAAGTCTTGACTAGTATACAGATTCTGCTTACCATCCCTCTCAGCAGCTCGATCTTGACCGGTTCCTGCGCTCCATATTCGTATTCGATAGGCTGGTTGTTGGATTGTCGTCTGCTCCCAACGAAAACGGGGGCGCTTTTGTTCTGCTTGCTCTTTGATTGATCGACGTGGCAGAGATCAAGATAATCTAGCGAAACTTTCATGTCTTCACATGTAATGCTTGGCCGAATGGGTGTTCACGGAGTGGGTCTAGCAGAAGACAGTTACTGAGACCAATTGTTTTATTCTGCAGAGGGGGGTTTACACCGGAATGGGTGACGCGCTTACCAAGATCGTGCGTGAGGAGGGCTTCCAAGAGCTGTACCGAGGACTCACGCCCAGTCTGATCGGTGTCATACCGTATGCCGCTGTCAACTATTACGCCTACGATTCGTTGAAAGCCACCTATCGGAAGGTCACGAAAAAGGACAAGGTGAGGGCGTTCCGCTGGTTTCCGTGCAATTGGTTGCCCGTCCCTGTAGTGCATAGGTGGCCTTACTGCCGCACATAGTCCCGTTTCGCTTGTTACCAGCGTTTTGTTGAGAAAGCTTCGCAGCAACAGGGTACGAAGAGGGTGTGAGTACTCTGCGATCCGTCTGCTTGCAAGACGACCCAGATTTTGTCTTGCTCACGCGTTCTAGAAGGTACTGCATACCAGAACCTCAACAATCTGAGATGCAGAACGCGAATGGTTTGACGACGAAGTTCCGTGATAAGCTGGCCTATGATGCCGCAGAACAACAACGACAGTTCATGAATCAAACTTTCCAGTCACATTTGACAATGGATTTCATCTTGATTCTTGCAGGTAGGGAACCTTGCCACACTGTTCATCGGTTCGCTTGCTGGGGCGATTGCGAGCGGGTCCACCTTCCCATTGGAGGTGGCCCGAAAGCAGATGCAAGTGGGCGCCGTGAGCGGCCACATAGTTTACCGCGACGTTTTCCACGCGCTGAGCAGCATCCTGAAGAAGGAGGGCGTCGCGGGCCTCTACCGGGGACTGGGGCCGAGCTGGATGAAGCTCATGCCTGCGGCAGGGATGTCGTTCATGTGCTATGAGGCTTGCAAGCGGATACTGATCGAAGACGAACAGCAGCGGATGAGCTAGACTCAATAGGTGTAAGTAGGTACTGAGGTTGATTGGTGCTCGCAGATGGGCGTCTAGTCAGCATAAGGCTTGCGCTGGTCCGTAATCAGGTTTTCAAGATCGTCAAGGTCGGAACGGACTTTGCGCATTGACACAGTGAGTCGACACCGTCTACAGCCGATAGGTTCGACCTCGGTTTGATTAGAACCGCTATCCATCTTTCCTGTCAATCGCATGTACCTCAAGGCTTTCCAGACAGGCGAATACTAGATATGTGAATGAACAGGTTTGTCTTCTAATCCAAAATTAGGATGGTCGCTATGCAATTATATGCAGTGCATACTTGTCATTCAGGTTACTAATCTTTGCATCTGCATATAAACCTCATAAGGAACGAGGACCAGACAGAGATGCATTAGTGAAAAAGTGAATGTAATCTACTAATATGGTGACTAAACTATGTTTAAAGTGGGCGTGGGCCATGCATGGACAAAGCCGATCACACGGTTCCAAGACCCTCACAAAACTGCCGTCCGGAATCGAGACCGTTGGATCTGTGACGCCGTCGGAGATAGCGGCTGACGCCAGGCAAATCCCGACGCCCACTTTCAGAAAACCTCACAATAACAAGACGTCTGACGTCTTCTGGAGTAGCTTCCAACAAAAACTCTTCTTTGTTGTTTCTCACTTTCTCAGTTAAAGAGAAAGCTGAAAGAAGCATGAAAATTGGTGAACTTATGAATGACACAATGCTGTGCATGCCACGGTGTGTCTCAGTTTAGCCTATGGTTTAATCTTTTGACTTGCCAAACATGGGATCCCGGTATAAGAACCACGAGACTATGGCCCTGGGATGAAAGGAACGCGATAAAAGAGTGCGGCATTTATCGCAAGTCGAGGCTAAACAAGCGGGTGACGGGGATCGAACCCGTGACAGTTTGCTCCATGCGATGTCATGCTGACGTCATGGAAGGCAAATACGCTACCACTGCGCTACACCCGCACTTCTGAAATGGATGTCACTAGGTGACGTCAAGTACATTATGTAGATACGACTGTTAGAGATCTAGCATTGAAGTATCTATTGCAAGCGTTGCACTGGCATTGGCAATGGCAGGCTACAAAGGTGCGTTGTTCAATGCACTTCCTTGGCAGAATGGTTGCCTCGTGGCGAGCTCCCTTCTCGTGATCATTTTCAGGATTTCCATCTCACCAATGAATGATGGAAAGTTGGGCCCCTTGAGAAGCTATATGACTCCATGCCTTTCTATCCAATAGTACGGAACGAATTTACATCCCCATGTGGGTTTGCAAAGACCTTAGTAATCTTGTTTGCAAGCAGGCTAGAGCCTGACCCCCATCGAGCCTGGCAGATCATTTCCTGTACATAATGCCACAACTCCTGGAAGTTTCTGCTGAGGATCGCACTGCCCAGATTGAGGAGCTGGAGGTTTTGCAGTCTATCTATGGGGAGCAGTGCAGCGTTGCGACAGCGGGCGACAGCTGTGAGGTGGGTGACACTCCTTTCCTGGCGATAAAGTTGAGATAGACTGTCATCTTTTTGAAGATGAGAAAAAGATACGTCGGTGCTTAAAGACAACAAGTTGATCGTGGCGAAAGTAGTACTTTGCTTTGTAATGCCGTAAGTATAACTGTCGATTCTTTGATCAACCAGTACAAGTAACACCTCCTTTTCAATCCTGGCGCTTGTTTCTCAAAATGGCGTCCAGCTGTCTCTCTTGAGTGAAGCCCCACCACTGTATGTCCTGAAATGGGAAATGGAGATACCTAATAGGTAAAGTGAGTAGGACATCAGCTGAAAGTGGAGAATGGGGCACATCATGTGGTCACATCAATGGGGGACAGTAGTCTGATCAAAGCTATGCATTTGACAGACCAGTGGTAGAAAAAGGTAAGAAAAAATGGTCACATCAAATGCCCATAACATTAGTCTTGGGAACATTCAGTCACCACAGTAATGATCTGAGCCAGATCAAGTGGTTACCTCAAGTGCGTTTTACTTAGCTGCTAGCACATCGAATGGGCACATCATGAAACACTTGATTGCAAAAGCTCGTGGAAAGCCCTCCGCTACTAGTTACCCTTCAAAGGGCCACCGTGCAACTCTTCATTAAATGTTCTGAAGGTTCTTTGCCATGGTGGGAGCCTTTAAGGCTTGGTGGGCTGCATGAATGTCTCAAACGTGTACAAGGTGTTCTGGACATGGTCGATGTGCCATTGCTGTCAGCGGGACTTGCCGTACTCCTGCTCAGAGAAACTAAGAAATCTGTAACTAAGAAGTCTTCCAAGTAGTTGACTGCATGCCCACCCGGCGAAACAATCGCTTACCGTCACGCATATCAGCTGAATCCTCTTGTGGCGTGTAATACTCTATGTGAAGACAGACCCACTATGTAAACCTCACTCACACACGTCAAGTCTGGAGGGACTCTCGTAGTCGCACACAATATCCTAAAGCAACAAGTTGACCAAGGAACCCGCCGCTCCAGATCCGCATAAATCCTCTGGAGGCCTCCGACGCCAGCCTGCTCCTACAAGTCCACCTGCCAGAGGACTACCCCTCTTGCAGCCCCCCCGTCGCGGAGCTCGAGGCGCCGTGGCTCACGCCAGAAACGAGGGAGCGCGTGTGGCAGGGGATGGCTGCGGTGTATTCAGAAGACCCAGGAGAACCAGTGCTGTTCAGATGGACAGAGTGGATCAAGGTAAGCGAGGCGAGACAATATCTGACGTAATCTGTTATAACATGAGTTCGTCACAACAAGAGTTCATGATCGTCACGTTACAAAGCGTGGGGGGAGTCGGGACAGTGGCCACCGACTGACGGTTTGCAATGAAAGTACACCCCGAAATTGGAAAATTCAACATAGTATAGAAGTGCCAGCCAAACGTTCGTTTATAGGTGCCAATTCCTCCTCGTCAACCCTGGTTCGAATGAGCCCGTACGCTGAGATTGTCATTCTGGGCGTCTCTCCGAAGTAAGGAAATAGCAGGCAGGACTGTAGGCGCTTTGCTGGAGGTCAAGGGCGTAAGGGTGTCCCAACTTTTTCGACGTGCACTTTTGAATTAGAGGCTGCCGTTAGCCTTTCCTTTCGTCTCCTTTGCTTTCTGTAAGCGTGCGTGTACTCATACCTTAAAGCAGAACCGATAATCTGCCCGATTCACTACAACCATTTCGGTTGTAAAAGCTGCAAAAGCGCCGTCAGCTTTAGTGGGCGCTGAAAAGGCTCCAGGGCATGAGTTTTGGTCTTTGGAAGCAACAATTTGTTGCAATAATAAGGCCCTCTTACCAGAGCCTCTGACAGCTGCCACCTCCTCGCCTTCACAATTGTCATACCCTCCCTCAAATTTCGATTTAAGAAAGTACTCCGATACTGATAATAGCAAGCTGCTTCCTTGCAAGTACAGATCACAACTGGCAGGCCGCAGACTGGCACCTGTTTGCGCCCACGTTCCTCCAGTTACCACCTAGTTTGCGCATTATTCTCAGTTGGGGAAACATACATTTTGACGGAGGGCTGGTTATCGTGCAGGAACAGGACTCCCTCTGGGAGGCTGCCGACAGCTGGCACAAACAGCGGCGCAACGAGGCGCGGGACATTTCCGACCGGGAGCTCGCGCGGGGCCTCGAGGAAGAGAGTCTACGGCAGGAGATTGGCAACCGCGCGCGCCAGCTGGCAACTAGAACGGAGGCAGAGGAAGCCGCGGGGCGGGAGATGGAAACGAAGCTGGGGATCGTACACGGGTCACCGTTTGTGGACAGGAAAAGTGAGTTTGCGACTTTGAGGGATTATACCTGGCGACTTTCAAGAATATCTTGTTTCAACAAAGATGATTGTGGTTTGATTGGGCCATGCGTTCAAGGCTTGCTTGTCTTTGCACTCGTCAAGCCCTTGGCATTTGGGCTGCTTACTTTGTACGAGAACGCCAGATTGAAATGGTTTTCTCGGAGTATGTATGCGACATAGATTGCGCTTCTTCAACCTTCTCGGACCCGGCAGTCTGCTTCAAAATCCTGATAACGATCCCTCAAGCCTTTGCCTCTTTCCATTCCGCAGCTATTGGTATGTCGGCCTTTAATGCTGTCGAAGGAGTCGAACCCCTGTTTCATTGATCTTGCCTGGCCAGCCAAAGCACGTTTCTGTTCCGTTCGCTCTCTCATGCTTCCTCCCTGTCGTGCTGCCGCCGTCTCTGACAAGGTGTGAATTCCTCCAAGTCCCTTCCTCCAAGTCCCAGGCACCTTCCGTCCTGCTGACGTCAAACTGCTGACGTCACTTGTGACCCAGGCCGCTATACTCTGATTTCCCAGGCACATTTCAGGCGCACCTGGCGGAGGTTCACTCCTCAGAGGACGTCGAGCGGGCAATGCAGGCGCTGCTGGCGAACCGCAAGATCGCCGGCGCGACGCACAACATCATGGCGTTCCGGATACACCAGGACCAAAGCTCCAGCGTGAGTGGGCTCCCGTGGACGGGTTTGAAGAAAGATGATTTGAAGCTTGGGAAAAATAGGAAGCCTCCGGTCAAGTTCAAAACCCAAAGTCGAAATCATAAGTGTTCTACACCTGTACCCATCCGAAACCCTCGGATTGGCTCAGTCCGGTGACAGTATTCTGTGAACTCTTCTTGAAATAGACCTTCTTTCTGACGTTCCGAGCTTCGCAAGGAGCCGGTCCGCTCTGACCCCGGCAACCATTAGGCGGCCGTTCATTACTGCACAGGCTGACAGTAGTGATGATCATAACTTTTGTCGGTCTTTGTTCCTTCAGCGTTGTCGCGTTCCGAAGTTCGGCGATCTTGATTAGCTAGAACAGCGCTCACAGAAACGAAGAACTGCTGAATTGTGGCATGCCGGTCGCTGCACTCTTCCAAGCGCGAACCTGTAGGACAGTCCTTTCAGATGTTGAACCGACTGGTGCTTTAAGGCCCAAGCTGACCCTCGCGAGAACCCTTGCCGTCGGCGGCCTTAACCTTACTTAGAGCTTGCTTCTGCTTTTCAATCGAACCTGATTGTCCACCATAGTCCGTGTTGCGGACGATAGGACGGTCACTGCGTCTAGAACGCGGGGAATACGGACTGGAGACCGATATCCTGTGCGAAGTCTTCCGTGCCATATACTCACATTACTTTGCAGACACTGAAGCCTGAAACCTGAAGAGCATCAAGTTGGTCCTGTGCAGTTTCTGCAAGACTGTGACGACGACGGAGAGGCGGCCGCGGGGGGCCGGCTGCTGCACCTGCTCCAGATCGTCGACGCTCGCAACGTGGTGCGTGGCGCTTCTGACACGTGTCGCCCTTTCCGCTGACGGCCGGTTCCCCCGCAGAAAGATGGCAACATGCTCTGGTCGCTTTTGCCATTTCGAGCGGTGAAGCGTTTGGATCCCCGTAGTGTGGTCAGGCTTTCGTTGAGCGACCTTGGAGGAAACGATGGACCTGATTTGCTGCCTTGCGGTTTGACGTCACAGTTGCGAGGCCACAAGTATCCCTGCCTAAGGGCACATTCGAACTCGAACGAACCACTTCGTCAGACGGCAAGGCCTTTCCTAGCTCGTACGATACACGACTGCTGTCGTGCTGTGCCCGCCGTTCGTCCGCCAGAAATCTTACTGTATGTGCCTAAAGTTCGGTCAACTTTGCGCGCTCACTTCATTGGGCGCTTATTCTTTCCAGATGGTTGTCGTCTCACGGTGGTTCGGAGGGACGCTCCTGGGCCCTGACCGATTCAAGGTGAGCCCTTTCGTTTTGACACGTCGCCACTTTTGCGACGTTGATAGCACGAAGTCCTTGTTCACAGGCGCCCTCTGTCAGACATGCCCCAAGAGACTTCAAACAAAAAGAAAGGCAGTGCGGTGTTCAAGCAAAGATCTCTTTTCGTTGGGGTGAAGTTCGAGTTAAGCGGTTCAGGATGTTTGACAAGGGAGTCGCGAAGGTAGCGTGATCTGTGCTTCTTGTAAGAATGTACTGAGGTCTAGGATACCGACAGTCATGACAGGTCCAGGGGGCGCCATACTTCCGAGGAACGCCGAACGGTCCACTATGGCGGCAGGACATTCTCAACAAGATATGAGTCGCGGATTTTTGACTGCCGGCTTCCACGCCAGCAATTCGTTCAGCGAGTTGTGAGTGTGTAGCTTTGCTAAAGTGGTCGCCATAAATAACGTCAGCAAAACGATGTCAGCAGAGATAAAGGCCAGCAAAGACTTCGCTAACGTTGAGACATGCCCTCTTTGGTGCGAGCAGCACATCAACAACGTCGCGCGGGCCATCCTAGAGGAGTGCGGGCACATCAAGGGGAAGGGAGACAACCCGAAGAGCACAAAGGGTGAGTGCAGACTACTTCGAGCCCGAGATTCTGTGCGCGAGCGGGCGGCACTTTTTCCCTTTCAAGACTGGACCGTCCCGCCCTTGTCAAATCATAAGTTGTCAGAACGTGACTGCGACATGTTTCATCGTCTCGGGACTCGTGCCTTGGTTGTTCTATGATTGGATTCAGAAGCTGTGAAATGATTGCGGCCCGTGTTACTCGTCAGAGTGCACCAGCAAACCGAGGGATGTCCTGGCAGTGGGTTATACCGCTGTCTTCGGGTCGGCCGGCTCAGATGCTCTCGTCAAGTATGTGCCAAATCGCGTAAAGCCTGCACGCAATTCAAGCTCGCAAACTGGATCCTTTGCAATCACGTCGTACTCGGACTGTTGGCTTGGCCAAGTCGTAATATCGAAAGCGTGTGTGTGTAATTCGCGGGAGTCGGTCCAATAAAAAGCAACGGCAACCACCTGGTTTTTGAAGTCTGAGGACCTGGAGGGACGCGCGAGCTGCATCGTTTGGAGGCCCTTAGCGTCATCAGTGACGTCATTGCAGACCCACCAAAGGCCGCTCATGTCGTCGCCCCGGCAAACCGGATCCTCGTTAGAAAGGACGTCTCAGATACTGGCTGGTTGAACACATCTCTGTGCGCTATTGCAGGCAAGAAGCGGTGACCATCTGCTGCGCCGCTTATGCAACTGTCAGCAATGGTGGACTCGGTGGGTGCAGCGCTTAGATGTTATTTCTCTCTTCCTGCTAGATGCTCGAAATCTGAAAGGATGCTTTCAAGCTAAGCTTGACGAGAACTGGAACCCTCCTTTAGTACGAGTTTTTGGAGTTGGACTCCGTCACAACAGCAGATTCGAGAACGGTTCCGTTTGCTGATGCGTTACTCTCCCGTTTGCGGCATCTTCCCCGCCTACCTGCCCCTGCAGCACGGGTCAATCGGACTTCCGTTGTTTTAAGATGGCGCTTAATTTAATCTCTGTCTTCGGTTTCGGTGGTCCGGCCTACTGGTCTGCGCAAACAAAGCAATCTTGTCTCCCCGTGCTCTCGGAAAAGTATCCCCGCTGACGAAAAGGTGACGTCATCGTTGCGCAGGAAGCCACCATATCCACCCCCCTCACAGTTTATACGGCTCCCTTCAGCACCATAACTGCGGCACCTCGCCGATCGTGCGGGAGGACCACACCACATGTGGGCGCGTCTGTTATCCGGGAGCCCTGCCAGTGTCCAAAACGACGTCGACGGCAGACGTAAGACTGATGCGGCTAATTTCGGACGTTCTTAGTTTCGGACGGGCAAACCCGAAATTTTCTTTCAGACTCAGCTAACCCAGTCTGCGGCTGCTCGAGCGCGTCGATTCCGACGTCGCATTTCAAGTACCATCAGAAGACAAGCCGCGCGCAACACATTTTACATACGCGCTTATGCGGCCTGCGGCCGCAGACTGGATCAGACAGTCCGAGATTAAGTTACGAGTTTGCCCTTCAAACTCGAAAACATCCGAAGTCAGCCGCACCAGTCTTAAGGACGTTCCGCTTCCGGATGCAGAACGAAAGGCTCGTGTCCGAATCCTCAGATCGAGGATCTCGCCATTAAGTGTGCAAGAATGTAAGGACTAGTGGTGCTGCCCACGTGGGAGCAAGATTTTCGAGTTCGGGGGCGGTTCTAGTCCCGAAGCCACCGGTCCTGACAAGCGACCGATCGCCGGCTGACCGGCGTGCAAGTATGGAACTGATAGTGTGAAATTTGAAATTTTGGTGATCAAGTCATGAAGTTCATTCTCGTCATAAGGTGGCAGAGGGGGTCTCGAAGAAGAGCGGACCTGATTGAGATACGACAATGGTTAAGGGAAGAAAATGACTCAGAGATAAGTAGCTTAAAAATGTTGATGAAAGCTTTGTAAGCCAAAGTGGATTTTGCGCAAAAGGCTTTCAATCTTTTAGTATGTCAACATCTTTGGTGCTTCTAGCTTCTAATCAAAATATAAGCAATTGACAAGCAATGATGATGCGCTCATCTACAAAAGCAGACGGATCCGATCACTGCCATGCGGCAAGCTAGATTTGATATACCGTGATTTATAGCTAGGCGTTCCGAAACAACAAAAGTATGCGCGTTGATCTGCATATAGGTTGAACTCGGAAGCGCCTATGGCCCATGTGTATTGGCCGGGCTACGCGGCATTTTGAAAAGAGCTAAACCGTCGATCATTCCGACAGGGCCTGCTCGTGCCGCGGGCGCGCTGCAACGAGCTACCAAGTCAATGCACACTAGATTTGCATGACGACACCACCGTACAGCTGGCATTGAAGGTCCGGCCCACCATGCATGTTTGAATTTGATTGCTTCAGTATCGAAGGCATGCCTACCATGCATCAGAACGTCAAGATGAGCTGAGCGGGCCAATTATATATTAGGCTGGTCCAACATCATGCACCGCGAGAGAATCTTTTACGGGCCGTTCGTTTCTTCGATAAATCCATCCCTTGTCAACATGACATCGCGAGAACTGATTCTAGACAATGGCCGCCCCCACCCAAAGGGCGTCGTAGAACCAGGCAGTCCTTTCAACCGATTGAGTAACCGAGGCTCCGTTTTGGCGGTCGCCTAAAAAAGCACGTGGCCTTAGCTCGCAGGGACCGCCAGAGCGGAGCCTCTGCACTGATAGCCTGCCGAGCTGTTTGATGACGTGGTCGGATGAATTCTGCATTCAGCTTTCTACGTGGGTACCTTCGTGAAGAAAAATGCCTTTGCCTAGACCGTCCGAGTCCTACAGTGATCGATGCCTCTAAATGCTCTACAGAGACGTTTGTAAAGGTTCGATATTGGAACTCAGTGGAGCATGTTCAAACTAGCTTGGCGAGAGTGTATAGAGGCGCCAGTGAAGACCGACCTGCACTTGCGTGGACCCTCGGTCTCGCACCATTCGATTGCTTGTCGTTTTGCAGGCCCAAGTCGATAGAGTATCCTATGTTGATATCACCTGATTTGCGACATCAACACTTCTGCACATAGTTAAGTTGGCTCCCCCTTCAAAGCTAAATATAGGCAACTGGTACCAAATCAGAAAATTAGCTAGACGCTCTCAACGGGGACTCTAAGGAACCCTTGCCCGACCATTTTGGTGTCACCGGTTGCCCTATGAAACCAGAGTTTTACGAAAAACGGTCGCAGAACGGTCCCCGTTTACGTTTTATCTCTTCGTTCTACGTAGTTGCAAACCCTTGATGCGATGAAGCTGCGAGCAGGAATCGTCGGCTCTTTCCTCCATCTATCCAAGAGTCCGTCATACCCATCGGTTGAGCAAAAACCCGCGTCCACGTGTTGAAGGGCCTCCACAAGTATCACGCTCTCCCTTCCATAGAACTCCCGCCTCCAGATCCCCAGCTCCGCTCCCACAGGAAACGACAATCTAGGGGAACACCCTAATCGTGAGTCCCATTCTCCCATGACTTGTTTCAACAGGTTTCTCAAATCACGTCGACGGTCCTCTACCAGGTAATGCTGCGGGTTTGGTAGAGTGGGGTCTTCATCCCGGTCGGTGCAAGCCATAATTGCGGCTCGGATAATCACCTGCTTTCGGGATCGGTAGCGGTAGGCAAAGCTTGCCCAGGTGGCTGCCGCAACCAAACCCGCAAACAAGGAGGAGGCAACTCCAAAGCCGACCTTTAGGGCCAGGTCACCACTATTACCTGCGTAAGACAACCGGTGAAGGCAGTGTACCTTGAATTGAAAGTCATTTTTGAAAGCCTGTGTCAATGTCACAACGCACATGAGCCCAGGCGTACTTGTTGGCTTTTTGAGCATTTCAGGATCGGAGCAAAGGTTGTAAACTCTTGATCGAACCTAGCTACGAGCAGGACAAGATTAAGCACGCTACGAAGATCAACCAACTGATGCTGCTAAGCTAGACGAAAGCTGGGGCCCAAGAGCAAGTTGGAAGTGCATCATTGGCCATACTAGCTAGAGAGGCTTTTAATTATCCTGTGGGTGCTGAACATTGAAATGAATTCTAGTAAAGGTCACGGTGTTTCGACAGGATCGGGGACCGAGTTTTCGACATTAGTCGTATTGGTTGAGCAGCACGTCCGCCCACAAACAAGTACACTCAAGGTAGAACACCACAATGGCTGAATTGACACTGGCAATCTGAGAATCCTGATCGTATGGTTCTAAGAATTTGTCAACCAATCGCGGAACGCGCCTGCTTCGTTACGCCTGCCCAGGATGTGAGTCAGCCGCGTCAATTCTGACAATTACAAGTTGCTATCTGCACTTCGGCGGATCAGACTTTCCAATTTAAGGCTGGACCATCTAAAAACCTTAAATCCACTCTTTGCCCGATGCCCCCATGATAAGCTCATCCAGAACTTGATGAGAATTCTTCTCGATCATGCACTCAGCTGGCTAAAATTTTCCATAACACATTACACTCTTCCACCCAAAATTTGCACTGCCATCCAAATCCCTTGATGATAGTCAGTGCTCATCTCACCGGAGCTAGCAGGTGACGAGGTTGAGCTCGAACGAGTGGAAAAAGTGGTTTGGCCCGGTGTATTGATAGCAGCTGAAATGGGGGCCATGGGTGGTACTGATACGTTGGAAGGGGCAACACTTCTGCCAAGTGTTGGAGTCGGCGCTGGGGTTTGAGCTTCCATCGGGGCGGGGGGGGGTGGCACAACATTCGGGGCGAATGTGAGTATGGGAGTTGCGGTGGGCGATTGCGTTGAGGTAGGGGAGGGCACTGTTTGCGAAGTGACAACTGGAGAAGGGTTGTTTTGCACGGAGTTGCCTGTCAATGCTCCCCCCCCAGCAGCAGAGCAGCAGCCGGCTAGCGAAGAGGTACCCGTGCAGGTTACAGCGGAATCGGTGTAGCCTATGCAGGTGCAGATCGTGCCGGAAGTGCTGGTGGAGCACAAATCCTCGCAGCAGGCCACGAAGACCTCGGTACTTCCAAACTGGGAGGTGCTGCAGACGTTGGTGGAGATTGTGTGCAGTATGCTTCAATAGATGGCTACAATGTGACATGACCCTGAGGTGCCACCTGCACTCACAAGGGCAACCGAGTCTGCTGTCAGACGTGACTTTTGGAGTGCAAAGAACGCTTGACTCAGAGCGCCGGTAGTAGCAAAATCTTTTTAAACCAAGTCCTTACCAGAACGAGCCTCTAAGTACAAAAATGGAAATACTGGCATTGACTTGAAGGATTTACGGACAAGGTTAGACTCAGATGCATCTTGATTGGAAGTATAAGATGTGACATCACTGCTTGTTAGACGAGCATTGTTGCCCAACTGTAGACTGCAGCACCTCATTGGAATATAAAAGTACCAGAAAACTGCGGTCTTCTGTTGCTTGTCGCTACGTACTATTGCTGGTGCTGACATGTCACTAGAATGCTTCGGAGCACTTTCCAGTGGTTCTTGACAAATGCCGTTCTCAAAAGTTTCGAAGACTCAAACGACCCTAGAATATTAAGAAACATGACCTTTGCACGTCGGAATTGTTTAGAACCCAAAATGGGAGTCGTGCTGCGGCATCAAACTGCTGTGGTTAAAATCAACCTCAGTAGTTTGATGCCGCAGCACTCCCATTTATTGCCAATTTAGAGCAGACAGAACTGAAAAAGTGGAAGCAAATGACGGCACAACAGAGCCGGTCTTCAATATCAAGGATTAGCCTAATTGAACTGCTATTTGCAAGGATTGCCTTGGCTTAAGCTGATTAGTGGGGACATCGAATTTGTGAGCCCACTTGCCAAGGAGGCAACTCAAGGTCATAAGGAAGCAGTCAACTCGGAGCAAAGTTGAACCAGATTCAATGTATATGCGAAGCTATTAGAGCCACATGTTCAAGGACTCGAGTCTTTGAAAAGGCTGCCTGCGAACCCTTTCAGCTTGACAGCCGTCTCTTTTCAATGCTCCTTTGCTTATGTGGCTGTTGTGCAAAACTATCCTACATGCCCACATTCTATCTGTATCTCAAGCCATTAGATCTGTTCTGCTGATTTTGTCCACGCGACAGTTTATTCAGGATGCTCACGATGGGCTCACGATCAAATGTACAGGATGAAAACCAGCACCAGTGCCAAGAAGACTAAGCCTCACTTCTAGATGAGCGTTGAGCTGCTCTCTGATTCACCCATTTGATCAAGATGAGGCAGTCATGCAGGAAAGGTTTTGTAATATAGTAGCAGGCACTGGGTTGATGAAGCTACAGAGATTTTCAGGGTCTGCGGCACACCTTGACAGCATCAGTTGAGGCAGGAGGAGATAGCACGTTCCACCGACGCCCGCGCAATAAACCCACCTGAAACTTGTAGCAGGTTCCGACGGGGCAGCTTCAGGTTGTCCTTTGCTTGCTGTGACGAGCGCTGCCAGTTCCCCAAATAGGCGACAAGACCCGAGCCCGTGCTCGAAATGACGCCCGCCCGAATTGACTGGCCGCTTACAGTATCAAGAATAAGGCCCGAGCTGACGTCGAACACTCTAGCATCAGCAGCAGTTAGCAGCAACATCAATTGCACACTCCAACAGAGCAAGCGAGCTGGAGTGAACATCAAAATCATGATCATTGGATCATATATATATACGTAGAGCCAGACTGAATACCTCTATGACTGCTTCTCTGCTTCACTTCACCCCTTCACGGATTGGGTAAAGGGCCAACCACTTCGACGTCCTGGCCCGACGTGATTAAGAGCTATAACAGCAAAGCTCTCATAATGCGTCCACGCGGCGTCCACGTCCAATGAATAATCCCAATCAACATTGACCATCATAAGTTGAGATCTTTCGCAATCCTGTGAGGGCGCTCCGGCTGTCCAGGCTCGCCTCTAATAGCGTGGTCTCAAAAGGTATTTGCAGTGACCAAGTGGCTGCCGACATTTCGCGTTGGAAGCCTGCAGGCTGCTTGCTGCAAAGAGCTGACTCGTAGCTAGGTACCGTAGTTCCTTTGGAAGTTTTGAGCGGCCCAGCTTGCCGCACTGGCTGATCGCTGCTAGGTACCTTTCCTCTGGTACCCGGTACGAATGAAATGACTGTCTGACCGTACGCTACGTCGCAAGCACTTTACTCATGCCTATGCAAGCTACCGTACCCGGCTACCATGTTCTGGTTTACCTACCTCGCGCTCGACCGTACAGCGTATGTGCTATGGGCTGAAAAAGGTAGCACCGTGGTCCGTATTACCTACTATGTCTTCAGTATGGATCGCGGAGCCAGAATGCAACCAGGAAACCAGAATGCAAGTAGGTATGAACGTGTACACTTTGACTGAGCGGGCAGTCACTGTAATGACGGGGCCCGTGAATTTCGAGAGTACGGATCATAAAGTATTCACACTTGGCATTTCCCCGTCAAAACTGAGCCCGATCAGGCTCGGTTCGGACATTTCGAGCCCGAGCCTGATCGGTTTTAATCGAGTCGAC